GTCTCCAACTCGTGAGCCACCAGTGACAAGTGTAGCTCCTTGTTTCTTTCCACTATCAATCATGCTGAGAATTTTTTTTAATTGTTCTTCATCAACCTTATTAATTATAATAACTTTACTAATAAAATGTTTATATTTTATGAGTGTTGTTAAAAAAAATTTTACTTGTGGTCCTTGGTGTGTTTTTGGATCAAATTGATCTCCAACAATACGTTTTTCTGCTCTTTTTGCACTTTTCTCAACAAACTCATCATAAATTGAATCTTGAACATAAGTACGTGAGCCAGCACAACAGCATTGTCCCTAAATCATAAAGATTTAAGTTTGATAAATAACATTAAATTATATAATTTTAAAACTAACCATATTATAGAAAAGTGCAAAATGAGCACCTTCTACAGCTTGATTAATGTCAGAATCACTGAAAACCACATTTGGAGATTTACCACCTAGTTCCAATGTTACTCTCTTCAGATTGCTTTTTGCAGCACCTTCAGCTATGATTTGGCCAACCTAATTGAAACATATTATGAAAATATAGTATTTATATGATAGTACATTTGAATACATTACCTCAGTTGAACCAGTAAATGCAACTTTATCTACACCTAGGTGATCAACAATAGCCTTTCCAGCAGTTGGACCATATCCAGGAACAATATTAACAACTCCAGGTGGAAATCCAGCTTCTTTCACAAGACTAGCAATATATAAAGCAGTAAGAGGAGTTTGTTCAGCTGGCTTGAGAACAACAACATTTCCTGATGAAATTTATGATAGATATCATATTAGTGAAAATTGTAATGTACAAGATATAACTAATAATTTGGTAATTTACCCATAGCCAAAGCTGGTCCAATTTTCCAAGACAACATCAATAATGGGAAATTCCAAGGGATAATTTGGCCACATACGCCAACTGCTTCATGTCGGGTATACGCAAAATAATTACCGTCAATTGGGGTTACTTTACCATGATTTTTGTCTGCCCAACCAGCATAGTACCGTAATACACCAGCAGTTCCAGGTATATCGTCGGACAATGCAACGCTATAAGGTTTGCCATTGTCCAAAGCCTCCAAYGACTAACAAGAAATTAATTTGATTTAATTCAAAACTTTATAGGATACCTACATTAATTAAGCGGTAATTCTTACAGCTAAATAAACAGCATCTCGTTGGATTAAATCTGCTAATTTATTGAGAAGCATACCACGCTTTGAAGCATCCATTGTGCGCCAAGGGCTGTCTAACTTAAATGCTTCTTGTGCAGCAGCAACTGCATTGTTGATGTCCACCTGCATAGATCATTAAACAATTACATATTAAATTATGAAAATAACACAGAAACAAAATATGGAACATACAGCATCCCCTTCTTGAACTTGAGCAATTGTTTCACCAGTAGCAGGATTAAGAGTATCAAATGTCTTTCCAGATGATGATTTAACAAACTCATTATTAATGAATAACTAAAAAAACAAAAATCATTTAAATCAATAAATGTAAAATGATGGGAGTAGGTACCAATTTACAATTATCACAGAGGTGTTAAAGTAATTTGATATATTTAATTTATGTAGTTATATTTAGAAATTTTAGATTTTTATATCGCATGTTATATCTAAAGATGCTTGGATGTGTTAAAAGGATGTCAGTGTGGTATTTTTTTTTTATCTCTGACTTACGTGCAATATAACAAATTTATGCTTAGCAGAACCAACACTGATAATAGCTTTGATAAAAGCTAATTTATAAAAATATTGATGGTAGAAAGGTTGATTTAAGTCAAGGAGCCAATTATTTATAATTTTTAAAATATAAATACTGTTTTATAGTAAATTTATTCGAATATTAATAATAATTTTTTTTTTAAATATTAGTTTTGGAAATTTTCAGGCAAGATTTTTAACCATAAATCGTTAATTATAATATTCAAAATTTTTGAATACAATTAACTTTGATAAATTTTTCAATTTTATTTATCAGGTCTTTCCGTTACATTCTGTACACAGTAATATAATGATAAACAAAATAATTATAATAATGTATCTAATTAACGTATATAGTATAAATGACAGTGCCTTCATCGATCCTATAWAGCAAAACATTTTTATTTCCTTCAATAAATAATTAATTACAGATAACCTTTCACTTTTGTAGTTWAAAAAAAATATTTAAATATATACATACATATATAGCTAATATAAAACCAATTGGGAGAATTAATTTATCAATCATAATTCTAATCATTGGTAACTACAGAATGGTTATCAATATTCATAGAAATTGTTATAAAAATAGTAAAATGTACTAAAATTCTAATAGATCGAGAATAATTTCATTTTGAAATATGAAAACATAAAAATCTAAGTGTAACTGAATAATTATTCATATTGAAGTAGTAACCCCATAAAAAAGTCTATTCATTAATTATATGTTATATCATATAACATATTTATACTCACTATCATGGGCACCCATTGAAGGAGGGGGGCAAAACAGGGCACTTGCCCCCCCTGGAAAAAAATATTATGAACTTATAGCTCAATAAATATTACCATAATATTACCTTATTACCGAGGCAAATTATTTGTTGAAATTAATTTTTTTTTGTGAAACTGTACTTTGTCRAAAATTGGTTACAAATATACCACTTGTGTGATACTCGTTGGTCTGCGAAATATAAGTCTATTCACATTTTTAGATATTTTAAGTTATAATTTGGACGTAAAAATATCGAATATTTTAAATTATTTTGTAGTTAAAAATTTATAAAATATCCTAGACTGTCAAACTGTCTCCGCTCAGAATCATTTTTTGTATACAATGATATATCATTGAATTCAAATTTAACACCATCCCCAATAGTAACCTACAGCAGAGCAATATCCACTTACCCGCTTTTTTAATATGCTTATTAAAATTATTATTTATTTATTCATTTGTTCGTAT